TGGGGTACACTATTTCTTGTTTTGTTTTGTTTTTGGTACAGGGAATCCAATCAGGAATTTTTTTTTTAGACTAAAATGAAATAAAATAAAATAAAGCCAATCAAAATAAAACAATAAAAATGATGCTAAACTTCAAAATAATAGAAAATCAACAATGGCTACTATAATGTATCTTGTTATATTCGCAATAGTTGCACTTGCCAGGCAGGTACTGTGCCACTGAGCCATGTCCTTCTTTGGTCCATTTTTGTCTTTTTGAGACAAGGTCTCGCTATGCAGTTACTGGCATTGAGCTTACTTTGTACCTTCGACTGGTCTCAAACTTGCAACAATCCTTCTGCCTCAGTCTCCTAGTGCTGGGATTACAGGTGTACACTACCATACCTGGCCGGGGTAAACTGTTAAGTGGTTAAATTCTCAGTATCCCCTTCCATTCACCCATACATACTAGTTTATGTTCTAACTTCTTAAGTTAGTCAGACCAGGCACCTGCCTGGCAAGCGCATTATCGTGAGTCCAGTGCTTAGTACTGGGGGGAAAAAAATAAGTTAGACCAGACATGGTGGTCCACACTTAATACTTGGCAGACTGAAAGAAAAAGTTCTCAAAGTGGGCTACATCGCAAGATTTACGTTTCAAAAAAAAACTAATGAAAAACTATTTCAGATTCTTAAAGAATCACTTATCCACTTCGTTTTTTTGTCTTTTTTTTTTTTTCACTATATAGTTCAGGCTGGCCTTGAACTCAGTTTGTAGCACAGGCTGGCCTCAAACTCACAGCAACCCTTCAGCCTCAGCCTCCCCAATACTAAGATTTCAGACATGTGCTACCATGCCTATCAGTGCCTGCCTACTTTGTAAAGAACTCTGCAAAGAAAGACTCATCAGAATTTTCATCATGATCAAATTTGATGTAATAAGTTATTTCTTTCATTTCAGTTGTAGTTGATCAACTCATCTAGCTACCTACATGATGGGTTTTTGTTTTGTTATTGTGGTGGTAATGCACTGAGCTACCATCCCACCCCCTCTTTTATGAGAGGAAGACTTCAGAGGCAAAACGTGTTTGCATTGGCTTTGCTTGAATTTTTGTTTTGGCTAATGAAACTAGAATAAGTACGTTTTAGATTTTGAGCAAATAAAAGCAAGTACAAATATTTTCTAAGAACATTTTTTAGTGTTTTAGAATATTGTCCTTTAAAATAATTGACTGTAGAATTGCTACATTTAGGTTTCCACTATAATACTATTTTTCTAATGAATAACCGTAAACAAATGATAATTTTAAAATTTTGGCAGTAAGGAATTACTGAAGCAGAAACCAAAATCAAAGTTAGTAGCTATGTGTTAGATATATTAATTAAAGAACTTGCTTCAAATGATAAGCACACAATATATCTTTGAGATGTGGATAATGCAAGAATGGCTAATCTAAGCAACTAAATTACACAGAAGCATTAGAATAAATTTGGCAAATTTAAAGATAATACAAAAATTCTTTTTTTTTTTTTTTTTTTTTTTTGGTCTTTTTGACAGGGTCTCTCTATTCAGTTCAGGTTGGCCTTGAGCTCACTTTGTAGCCCAGGCTGGTCTCGAACTCGCAGTGATCCTTTTGCCTCAGCCTCCGGAGTTGGGATTATAGGGATCCCTCCTGAGCTGGGATTACAGGTGTGAGCCACCATGTCCAGCTAATAAAAAAATTCTTATAGGGAGGAAAAGAAATAAAGACCATTCAAATAGGATCACAGCAATATTGAGTAAGTTTTATTAGCAGTTTCACAAGCCAGTTTATCAGACACTTAGAGAAGCTTAGTCACCTGCAATATTGGAGTGTACAAAGTTACAGGAAATCTGACAATCTGAATGAGTCTTTCATTGCTCACTGAGAGGGCTCATTGCTTGCAGTTATCACATTTTAAAACTATTACTTTGGAGCTGGGGATTTAGCTCAGTGGCATAAGTGCCTGCCTTGCAAGCAGGCAGTCGTGAGTTCGATCCCTGGTACCGATAAAAACGAAAAAGACAAAAAAAAAAACAAAAAACTATTACTTTAAACCATAGGTATTTTTTAAGCTGTAGGCTACAGTTACACCCTGGAACCACTGTGTAGCTCAGGAAAAGTTGTGAAGTCTTAGCTAAATTACTTTATTAGAAAGTTAATCGTAAGGCCAGGCGTGGTGACACACACCTGTAGTCCATGTACACAGGAGGCTGAGGCAGGAGGATCATCATAGGTTTAAGAGTAGCCTGGCTACATAGTATATTCAAGGCCAGTCTGAACTACATAAGAGAGCCTGTCTCAAAAAACCAAAAAATGAAAAACAGAACCCCTTAATAATGGGTCACACTTCTATACAACCACAAAAATATTAATACAGTCTACCTTTTTTCTTCTTGTAGTACTACAGATTGAACCTAGAGACCTCTGAACTATATTCCTACCTCTTATTTTTTTCAACTTAGAGGTAGGTTTTTTGCTAAGTTGCCCAGGTTGGCTTCAAACTTGTGATTTTTCTGCCTTGACCTGTTTAATATATGGGATTACAGGTGTGCACTAACATATACAATATACATACACATATATACTTTTGTTTGCGACAGCATCTAGCAATATGTAAATTAAGGCTAACCTTGAACTCACTGTGTAGCCCAGGCTGACTCTGACCCTCATTGATCCTTCCACCTCATTAAGAGTTATTTTTACATTTGGCCAGCCATAGTGACATATCCTAGCAGTCTGGGAGGCTGAAGCTGGAACATCACAAGTTCAAATGCAGCCTGCAACACTTTGTAAGACCATGTCTTAAAAAAAAAGACCATGTTTTAAAGTAAAAAAGGCTGGATATACAGCTCTTTGTAAAGGCCAGGATATAATCATCAGAACTACAAAACAAAACAAACAAAATGTTACACATTTGAACACTTACTCATTTTTGTATTTTAAAGACCTGTGAAAATTTTAGTGGAAAATTATAAATGTCAACCAAACTTTTCACAGAGAAAATATCCCAACATATCTCCTAGTTAACCAGGAGATCCTCTTTTTAATGCTAGGCCAGCATCACAGTAGATGGGAACGCGGCAAACAGAAATAGAATAGCTACTGCTTTTATTCACCGTTAGTGTAGAGATGAAAACAGTTTTTAATGGAAGATTCACATGTTGTTCATGCATTGCCCTATGAATTTCTTGTGATCACCAATAAGCCAGTAAAGAAACACAAGTTTGAGTTGGGGATTTAGCTCAGCGGCATAAGAGCCTGCCTTGCAAGTGTGTGGTCGTGAGTTTGATCCCTGGTACTGGTAAGAAAAAAACAAAAAGAAACACAAGTTTTAATAGACGCAACTCATTTATTCTCACAGGGAAAAAAAGTCACAACATATTAGCTCATATTGTCACAAAAATATCTGATTGTGTCGACTCAGAACTTACTTTCTTTGTGAAACATCTCGTGATAGCCCACTTTTTACGATAAAGTTTGTAAGCTGCGAAAAGCTTACAAGTTTGTTCAAGTCTTTTAATATTTTACAAGCTTTGTCAGAGACAAAGAAATTATCAGATAGTAGACACATCTTCAGGTAACCTGGCAATAGAAAAGAAGTAATGTAAAACTTTAGGCCTGGCACCTCCTGTCTCAGTTGTGCTTTTGTTTTGCCTTTTAGGTATTCCAAATGCTGCTAGAGTTCTTGGAGCAAAATATTGCCAAGGTTTGGGAATACTTTCTTAGCAAAGTATGGCTACCCCACAATACTTGTATTGTCTCTCCAGTCTGGTGCTTTTGAATTAACATGCCAATGAATTTATTTATTACAAGTCTTTTTATTAACACTGTGCATAATAATTATCAACACTGTGTTCTCTGGCACTTCATTATAAAGGATTTTGCTCCTTAAGGAAATGACCTTGCCTTACACATTTTTGTATATCTCACACTGTAACGTCTATATTAACTACTTTTTGCTAACATAGCTACATATTGAGCTAAATTGAATTGGTGTTAATGGGCGTGTGTGTATGATTGCTTTTACAAGTAGAGGCAAAAGCGGGTTTTTATTGACACTGTGATAGTACTCCCATTGAAAAGGAGAAATCAGAATGAGCTCCTGGGCTGGGGATTTAGCCCAGCGGCATAAGAATCTGCCTTGCAAGCAGGTGGTCTTGAGTTTGATCCCCTGTACTGATTAAAAAAAAAAAAAAAAAAAAGAATGAACTCCCAATCTCTATTCATAGAAGGTTTTGGGCTCTTCTATAAGGACATGTAAAAAGCTTTACCTGTAAACCATTTGCATTTGCACTGGAAAAAGTTCTGATTTCCCATTTAATTTTTTTTCTGTGAAAGTATACCAAGAACTTCTGATTCCATACTTTCCAGATTACTATGAAATGCTTATCAGAAATGGGTTTTGGCTTTTCTCCAAGTGCCAGTTAACTTGATGCAACTGTGATCAGCTTTGAAGATACACAAATCCTAATTATGAATAAATATGCCCTAGCACAGTGATGGTGCCAATCTATGACACGTGTACTGCGGCAGGATGTTTGTTATCATTGAAAGCCTTTAAAAGGTTCACCATCACTGTGCTAGCAGGATATTTCCTAGTAAAATTTATTGGAAGTAAAGTTGCCAAATCTTATAAACCAAAATGTAGTAAATATATCAATGTGTATTTGAAAATAAATCATTTTCACAGATTTGCTTTAGCACAACTGAGAAACATTTTGTAGCTTGCTACTGCCATCTACTGGTTCTCAATTCTTAGACTTCTAGCAGCTGGTTTATAGTAAATACATACTGGTGAAGAGGAATTGTGTCTATTTATTTTATTGGAAACCCTAAAATATTCTATGTTAAAAGTAAGACATCAAAATTTTCATGTGATCCATAGAATGACTGGGTAGTATGCTTTTAGTGAACAAAAGTCATCTTTCACAGTTAGTAATGTGCTATTTTTGTGTTGGAGTTTCTGATTAAACATTTTTCTTTTGTCGTCTTTTTCCAGTTTAATGGATCGAGAAGTGGCACTGCTTGCTGAAATGGACAAAGTGAAAGCTGAAGCAAGTAAGATGTTCGATCTTTAATTAATGCTGTTGTCTGTTACATAAATAGTAGGTTCTGGCTCCCAATCCTTTTAAACAGAAGCTCAATATGAATGTGCCAGTAAGAGCTCATATATGGAGCTGGGGATATAGCTCAGTGGCATAAGTGCCTACCTAGCAAGTGTGAGGTACTGAATTTGGTTCCCTGTACCCAGTACCAGGAGAGAAAGAAGAAGAAGAAGAAAAAGAAGGAAAAAATATATACGTGTTTGTGTGTGTGTGTGTGTTTCTTTTTTTGGCATACAGGAGATTGAACCCAGGGCCTTTGCACTGAATTACATCCCCAGCCCTTTGGTTTGTTTTGTTTTTATTTGTACATATTTGTAATATATAATGATTATATTCATCATAGGGAATTATTTGTATATAAAATGTCTTAATTCTTTTTTATTCCATTCCCCTTCCTTTCCTCCATATTTTTGGCCCCTTTCCTATTTGCAAAAGATCTACCTTCAGGGGCTGGGGATTTGGCTCAGCGGCATAAGCGCCTTCCTTGCAAGCAGAGTCGTGAGTTCGATCCCCGGTACTGATAAAAAAGAAAAAAGACAAAAAAAAAAAAAAAGGTCTACCTTCCTGTTTTCTGTTGTCCATCTTTTATTTTGTTCTTTATTTGTATTTGGGTTTCTTTATAAAAGGGAAACTATTCAGTTTTTAAGCTTTTAGCCAGGCCTGGTGGTACGCACCGATAATCCCAGTATTCAGGAGGTTGAAGCAGAAGGATTGCTATGATTTTGAGGCCAGTGTGTACTACATAGTGAGTTTAAGGCCAGCCTGAACTATATAGCAAGATCCTGTTGCAAAAAAAAAATTTTTTTTCAGCTTTTGTATCTGATTTATTTTCACTGGACATTTATGTTCTCAAGGTGCATCCATTTTCCTCCAGATAACTCAGATACAGTCTTTGTAACAGAGTAGTACTCCCTGATGTATAAATACCACATTTCTCCCTTCATTCATGTCTGTTGATGGATATACAGGCCACTTATAAGCTTTAATTACTATGAATTATACTGTAAATATGGATGTGCATGTGTCATTGTAATATATCTTTAACTCTTGAGAAATCTAGAAGGGGAATAGCTGGGTTAAATGGAATTTCTATTTTGTTTTTTTGGGTTTTATTTGTTTGTTTGTTTTTGACACAAGGTCTCACTATGTTACTCAGGCTGGCCTTGAACTCGTTATGTGGCCCAGGAACTCAGAGCAATCCTCCTGTTTCAGTCTCCCAAATGAGATTATAGGCATGGCCAGAACTAGTATTGTCAAAGCAGCCATTCTTCCAAAACTGATATCTGAAATCTCAGTCTAAATACTAACAGCTTTCTTCACAGAAGTAGAGAAATAGTACTCAGATTCATAGGGAACCAGGAAAGACACAGAATAGCAAAAACAATTCTGGGCAACAAGAGCAAAGCAAGAGACATCACAATCCTGGACTTCACATCATATTACAAAGCCAGTTTTATTACATGGCCAGTTCATTTTTTCTTATTTGATTTCTTGATGATAGCCATTTTTTCTGAAGTAGGATAGAATCTCAGTGTTGTGTTAGTTTGCATTTCTACAGAGATGTTGAACACTTTTTCATGTATTTACTGGCCATGTCTGTTCATTTCACTTGCCCATTTTTTGACTGGGCATTTTGTTTTGAGAGCTTTAAATTTTTTTTAGCTTTTAATGTATTCTAGATGTTAATTTTCTGTCCAAGGGGTAGCTTGCAAAATTTTTTTCCCAGTCCATAGGATATCTCTTCACTCTGTTGGCGTTTCCTTTGCAAAGCAAAAGCTTTTTAATTTGGTGTGATTCCATTTGTTAATCCTTGATGTTATTTCTTGTGCAATTGGTGTTCTGTTCAAAATGTCCTTGCCCATGTCTTGAAGAGTTTTACTTACTTTTCTTTCTTTCTTTCTTGTATTGTTTTTGTTTGGTTTTGGGTTTTTGGTATCGGAAATTAAACTTACGACCTCATGCTTGCCAGGCAGGCACTGTGCTGCTGAACTGTATCCTCAGACCCAAGTTTTACCTATTTTATCTTCCAGCAGATTGTTTCTATTTTAATATTTAGATCTTTGACCCATTATTTTAGTTTAGTACATTTTCTGCATGTGAATAGCCAGTTTCCCCAGCACCATTTGTTAAAGATACTATCTTTCCTCCAGTGTGTATTTTTGGCCTCTTTGTGGAAGATCACATAACTGAATGCTTAGGCTTGTTTCTGCATCCTGTATACTGTTCTACTGACCCACATAGTTCTTTTTGTGCCAGTAGTACCATGCTGTTTCTGTCACCATAGCTTTGTAATACGATGTGAAGTCCAGGATTGTGATGTCTCTCGCTTTGCTCTTGTTGCCCAGAATCATTTTTGGTATTCTGTGTCTTTCCTGGTTCCCTATGAATCTGAATTGTTTTCTCTAGTTCTGTGAAGAAAAATGTTAGAATTTGGATTGAGATTTCATTAAATCTGTGCATTAGTTTTGGAAGTATGGCTGCTTTGACAATACTAGTTCTGACTATCCAGGAATAGGAAATACCTTCCATCTTCTGATACCCACCACTTCTATTGCTTTTGAACTCGTGTTCTAGAGTACTATAGTTTTCATTATAGAGCTCTTGGACTTCCTTTTTAGACTAACTCCTAAATTGGTTTCTTTGTTTTGTTTTATTCTATTTTTTTTTAACTTCTTAAAAATTTATTTTATTTTATTCTTTTGAGGCAGAGTCTTGCTTTGTGAGTCAGACCAGTCTTGAACTCACTATGTAGTCCAGGCTGGCCTTGAACTCACAGCAGTCATCCTGCCTCAGCCTCCTGAGTGCTGGAATTACAAGCATGTGCCACCACACCTGACAGTGTTTACTTTCTCTTGAAACTATTATGAATAGTATTGTTTTCCTAATTTTTTTCAGTGGATTTATTATTGGTATACAGAAACACTACTGATTTTTGTATCCTGCTACATTGTTGCATTTGTTTATTATATTTAGGAATCCTGATGGAATTTTTTGGGCCTTCAGTGAAAAGGACTGTGTCATCTGCACATAAGGATAGCTTGACTTCTTCCTTTTCTGTGCATATCCTGTTTATTTCTTTCTCTTGCTCACTGTTCTGGCTAAAGTTTCAAGTATAGTATTAAACAGGAGTGATGATAATGGATTTATCTGTTTTGTTCCTGATTTTAGAGGAAAAACTTACATATATGATATGAAACTTTCATATATCATATATATGGACTTTTTCTCCATGTATATGATGTTGATAGTGGTTATTCTGGTGTTGGCAGTAGGTTTGTCATAAATAACTTTTATCAGATTGAGAAAAAGTCCTTCTATACCTATGTTTTTCAGGGTTTTTTTTCATAATGAAGGGATGTTAGATTATTTTGTATTTTAAGACAGTATTTCAGTAAGTTACTAATTGCCCAAGCTGGGCTCAAATTTACAGCCTCCTTGCCTCTACTTCCAGATACTGGAATTACAGGTACACGACCATACCAGGTTAGTTCATCAATTTTGAGCAGCTGTACTGTGCTGGCATGTGAGTCATTACAGGAGAAAGTTTTTTGAAAGTCTCTTTTTAAAATAGGTTCAAGTTTGAATATTTCAGAAATATTTTTAATTTAAAGTTCAGTGATTAAGAGATTGCATCATGTCATCTGACACCAAAATATCAACCTTAGGAAAATAAAATATCCTACAGGTGCTTGGGTTCTGTTGATTTTGTTGGTTTGGTTTGATTTTTGTTTTATATTGCTGGGAATTTAGCCCATGGCCTCAAACATACTAGTAAACAGTCTACCACTAAGTGCTATTAGTAAAAAGTTTTTATATCCTAGCCCTTTTAATTTTATTTGAGAAGTCTCACTAAGTTAAATCAGGCTAACCTCGAATTTGTAATCCTCCTGCCTCAATCTCCCAAATAACGGGATTACAGGCTGTGCACAGCCAAGCCTGGCAGGATCTCATTTTATTCTGTTTTTCCCTCCATTGATTAAACACTTCTGCTGGGACTTTTTATCTATCTGGATAACAAAAACAAAATAACAACAATTAAAAAAAAAAAAAGCTTTAGCACAATCAGATTTCACTAGGTTGCCTACAATTGAATATATCCATTCTTGTCATTGGTTAACTCAGAATTTTCTTTTTCTGTTTGTACTCAGTCTTCACTCATTGTCTCTGTCAGTAAGTAAGAAGAAAAGGCAATGAATTGAGAATTCAGAGTATTGTGACTAAAAGGCTTTTAAAAGCTGATTAAAATAGATTCTAGAAGCCTAGAATCTAACCTGGGTGAAAAGAAAAGAGTAATGTGGCCCATTTTAAGTTTCATGTTGAGAATGTTGCAGAGATACTATATACTGTTTCTCAGAGGTGAGATCGGATTTACATTGAATAGTGTATCTTGAAATTTCTAAATGATAGTTTCAGCTATATTTTGAAAATGAAATGTCAAGCTAAAACTAGTAAGGTGGGGCTGGGGATTTAGCTCAGCAGCATAAGCGCCTGCCTTGCAAGCGCACAATTGAGTTTAATCCCTGGTACCAATTAAAAAAATAAAAATAAAACTACTAAGGTATCATCCTTATTATTGAGGTGCTTTTTAAAATTTACCTTTTATAGAAAATTCCAAGCATATTTCAAGTACTGTGAGCCTCTGTTGGCTTCAACCAGTTACCAACACGTGGCCAGTCTTATTTTACCAAATTGAAAGCTACAGAATTTTACTTCATTTCACCAATTTATATCTTTATGTCCTTTCTGTCCTGAAAGTACTGATCTTTAGTGATGTGATGTAAACTCCTTTGCTAGTACTATGAAGGTTGCTTCTTCTTTACAAATTAGTGTTTTGTTAAATAATTTTCATGTTCATAGTACTTCATGGTCCAATTTTTTCCCAGACATTCATATGTAATCTTCATATCAATCCTTTGAGGTAGATGGGTTTTTTTTTTAACCTACCTTTAAATTGGTAAGAATAGAAATAATAGCCCAGAAGCTGGGCATGATGGTGCATACCTGTAATCCCAGCGCTTAGGATCTGAGACAAGAAAATTGCTGCAGAGTTCAAGGCTAGCCTAGGCTACAAAGCGAGGCCCTGTCTCAAAAAAAAAAAAAGAAGGCCAGGTTGAGCTAATCATTTGTGTCCCAGCTCACTGCCTTTTTCCTTTCTCACTGATTACAAACTAAAAACAAAATTCTGAGTTAGGTAATGACAGGGATGTATTAGAAAGGTAATGACAGGAATTTTAAGTAATGACAGGAAAATATTCAATTGTAGGCAAATCTAGTGAAATCTAATCTGAAAGAAGAAACTTTAGATGTCATAAATGAAGATAATTTGTTTTCTTCCTTCTCCCTCTCCCTCTTCTAGCTTCTTCCCGCTTTCCCCTCTTCTTCTACTTCCTCTTCCTCCTTTTTCCTCTTCTTCCTCGTTTTCTCCTCTTGCCCTTCTTCCCCTTTGTTGTTCTTCCTCTTCCTCGTTGAGACAGGGTCTCACTCTGTAGTACAGGCTGTTCTTGAACTTACTTTGTATCCCAGTCTGGCCATAAACTTACAGTGATCCTCCTGCCTCAGCCTCCCAAGAGTTAGGGTTACAGGCATGAATTGCCACACCTGGCTTCAGAGATACTTACTCTTTAGTAAAAGTTTGACTTTTCCAGTATCATATAATTAAGCTCTCTGAATTATCTGGTAATTTGCAGAAATCTATTAAACACATTTTCTTAATTTTGTCATAAAATATCTGAGTTCTGGAGCTGATAAAAACTAAAGTTGATCCAAATAGCAAATAAGTTTTATCTTGGAAACTAGACCAAAATCTGGTAACTGTACATATTTAGTGTTGGTGGTAGCCATGTCCTTAAGTTACTGGCAAACTATGCTCTGGTTACTATTTGCAATCTCACTGTTTGAATTCCCACTTACATGTTCAACTTTTGTTATCTTGAACAATTATTTGTAAGAGGACAATAGTAAACATCAATTGGTAATTTATTACTGTTTATTTTTTTCTTTGAAAGTATGTATTATTTCTACCTATTTTCTGTTTTGTTTAGTCTTTCTTTAAATTATTTTTTTAAAAATTTAAAAAATAAAATAAAAAAAAGAAAGTGAAAGGGTAGCAATTGTCTAAAAAGGGAAGGCAGTGGCCATTGCTTATCTTTTATCATGGTTTGAAACCCATATTGTTTTTGTCGTTCTGTTTAGTTTGGTTTTATTCTGTTCCAGTTTGTCTTCTTGTATTAGAAATGATGGTATGGACAGCTATTCCAAAGATAGCAGGATATATTATGGTAACCATTTTTTATTTCTTATTAACTTGATTTTGAAGCCCTGTATTGCTTTCACTGTCTTGTTTTGACTGATTTTACTCTATTCTATTCTGTTTTGTTTGCTAATATCAAGTCTGAGAATATAGACAACTACTTTGAAGACAATAAGATTCACTCTGATACCCATTCTGCTCTAACTACTAACTTCTTCTGAAGTCCTGTAATGTCTCCAGTGTTTCATCTTTATTGATTTTGTTCTGTACTGTTTTGTTCAATTTTATGATACCTGATGATATGGGCAGTTCTTTTGAAGATAGCAAGAGGCATTATGGTAACCATTGTTGATCACATTGTATTTTATTTTTACATCATGTACTATGACCATCCTTTCATTTTGACTATCTCTATTTTGTTTTGTCACATTTGGTTTTATTCTCTTCAAAAAAAATAATAAAAACTGAAGGAGTAATAAAACCCAAAATGTGTAATTGTTATTATAAAAAAAAGAGGAAAAGAAAGTGCTCTAAAGGCTATAACTGCATGTATGTTTAAGTGTGTAAGACAGATAACCATATTACTAAGTTTTTGTTGGATTGTTGAACAGAACTGTTTGCAGTTTCACTATTTAAATGTCTACTTTGTATGCTTTAATTTTGTAACTTGAACAACTATTTCTAAGATGATAATATGTAATCTTATCAACTAGTGATTTCTTACTGTTTATTTTTTTGAAATTATGTATTATTTCTACCCTTTTTTCTGTTTTCATTTTTTTCTCTTTAAATAAAAATTTAAAAAATTAAACAACTATGCTCTGATTGGTTAACCTGGCATAGTTATGGGCAACCCATAGGTGGCATATTTGTAGCTGTCAGAGTAAACTTGCTGAAGACACTCAGCTTTTTAATGCCTGATTGAGCTCTGAAAATTCTGGGAGTTTTTTTCAACATAAATTTGTCTAATTTCTCAATAGTGTATAGCTTCTGTCTGTATCAGTTTGAGGATGAGTTTGAGTGCATGCAATTGAGGGGCCTAAATCAGTGTATTTCTTTTTTTCTCATGAAGTGAAAAGTCCAGAGATGAAGAGTGAAAAGGTGCAGGGCTTGGTAAGACATCTCCAAGATGACATTAGGGAACCAGGTTGTGTTGTACTCAGCCATCCTTAATGTGCTTCTGGTGAAAAACTAACTCTGAAGGCTTCAGTCAAAGATCAAAATGTTACATGCTTGCTAAGTAATAGTCCTTGAAAGAGCTTTTCTATAACTCCCTGCCCTGTGAATTTTGTTTATATCCCAGTGGTTAAACACATGCCTATCTATAGGAACTACAGGTTTTTACAAAGCACATTGGTATTCAGCAACATTGAACTTCTTTTTTTTTTTTTTTTTTTTTTTTTGTCTTTTTCGTTTTTATCGGTACCAGGGATCGAACTCACAACTGCTGCTTGTAAGGCAGGCGCTTATGCCACTGAGCTAAATCCCCAGCCCAACATTGAACTTCTGATGGGAAGAAAAGGAGAATGAATATTCAGTCCTCCCCTTCATTATTTAGTATCTCTCTTCTTTCTAAAAATGAGAGCATACCTACTTCCTTCTAAATGGCAGCATCTAGAAATTCTCTTCTGGTTAGTACATTTAGCTAAAAGGCTATGTGTTCTGAGTAATTTCAGATATTTCATGGGTTTAGACATGGATGTCATAAGTAAATGTTGTGACTAAATGCCCCTACCTCCAAGTAGAGAAAGAAGAAAATAATTATAAGTAGAAACTCTCACTTGGAAAAGAAGTAATTAAGTCTTACTGAACAAGAATATCTGAGTCTCTGACCTGATGATGAAGTTTCATCTGACAGCCCTGGTTCTGCTTCCTAGGAATATTTCTTTTGCTGATTACCTACAGGAGATCTTTTTCTTTTCTGTTGTCTACCATAGCTATAGCTGAGTTCCACATTAGGGAACATGTTAGAAAGCCCTTTTTTAAAGGGTATAACATGCCAGGAGTGGTACTACATTCATGTAGTTCCAACACTAGACAGGCTGAGATGGAAAAATCACTTGAGACTAGGAGTTGGAGGCCAGCCTGGATGTAAAGTAGAACATACACACCAGCAATGGTGGAGTATAATCCACCATTAGGAAATGTGGTAAATGACTGTACTATGTTATGTCCACATAGTAATTCACTGAATCAAGATGATCCAGATGTATGAATAAGGAATAAACATTAAGATTGAAGTAAAAATATCTAAAATAAAGGAAGACCAGGTATAGTGGTGCATGCCTATATTACCAGCACTCAGTAGGCTGAGGCAGGAGGATTGCTGTGAATTCAAGGCCAGCCTGGCCTACATAGTGAGAATCTGTCACCAAAAAGAAACTGGCTCTTTGGTCTTGGCAGCACAAACGAGATGACAAAGGAAATGTCATCCTTTGGAAAGTGTCGTGGTGTACACATTGTGCCACCACTGTAGCTTTAAAACCTAACACCTTCAGAAGTCGACCTGTGGCAAATGTGGCTACTCTGCCAAGCATAAGAGAAAGTGTAACTGGAGTGCAAAGGCTAAAAGATGAAATACCACTGAAACTGGGCAAATGAGGCACTTAAATACTGTTTATCGCAGATTTAGGCAAAGATTTGGTGAAGAAACAACAGCTAAGCCCAAGAGAGCAGCTGTTACAGCATCTATTTCATCTTGAGAATTTCAACGATTACCCAAAATAAATGCATTGGTTTTAAGAGAGAGACAGAGACTGAAGGAAGAATGCTATATTTCATATACTTGTGAGGAAGAAAAGGGATTTACAGAATATTGAATATACATAGATAGTGTGATAATTAATCTTGATTGTCAGCATGATTGCCTTGAGAGACACCTAGGAGATTAGTAAAACATACTTCTGTGTAGGTGGAATTGTGACCTTAGGGACTATATCTGAATCCTGGCCCCTTCCTTTAAGGTTCACAGCTTCCCTTTACCACCATGATGTTCTATTTGGAGCTAGCCTGCTATGGATTGAAAACTCTGAAATTGAACCAAAATATGCCCTTCCTCCTGTGTACGTCAGGCATTTTATCCTAGCAACCTAAGACTGACCAATCAATATAGAAAGTATTTGGAAGTATGCATAAAAATTTGTTAACAACAGTTCACTCTTGGATGTGGTCGCAGTATCAGAAGTAGGGACACTTATACCCATTTATTTTAGATTAATTTTTATTATGTGCTGTGCATAGTTTGGTCTTAATTTATATGCTTTCTGATAAAATGTTTTTGACTGGGGAGAAAGAAAAATGACATGATTTATACGTCTTTGTGATTCGTAAAAATACTTACCTCTTTATTGCTTTCAGAGACCCTCCAGAAGTTGGACCCCTGGGCCTTTGGTATTTTCATTTTCTGGATGGGTGAACAGCTAAAGCCCTTGGCTGTCCAAACACAGACTGTAACGCTTAGACTTCTACTTTTTCTTTACCCTATTTAGCAGAAATGTAAGATGCATATTCTCTTTTCCTCTACAGTGGAAATTTTACTCAGCCGACAAAAGAAAGCCGAGCTTCTAAAGAAGATGACTGACGTGGCTGTGCGAATGTCAGAGGAGCAATTGGTTGAGCTGAGAGCTGATATCAAGGTAGAACTTCCTTCTGTCTGCCTTTTCTTCTTACCCTAAAGTTGCAAATCTCCATAACTTATGGCCATATGTAATATATTGAACTCATGATCTTTCCCTTCTAAACCTGGCCCTTTCCCAGGTTCCCTTCCTTTATATAAATGGTACTGTCATCTATCTGCCCAGTTATCCAAGCTGAAAACCTTAGGAAGCTTCTCCATTTCCCACATTAAATCTATCAGCAGACCCTGTCCATTTGACCTGTTACTACATTTCAGTTCTGACCTTTTCTCTTCATCTCCACTAACACCTTCACAATCGAGCTACCACCATCTGCTGCTTGGATTTTACCTCATTCTCTCCATCTACTTTACCACTGCTCCACCCTACCTGTCTGTCTGTTCCTCACCTTATAGTAACCTGCTTCAAACTTCTCAGTGTTTTAAGGATAATTGCAGTGTTTTACTGTAATTCTTTTATTACTGGGGGTGAGGGTTGAGTTTAGCATGCCACTGTGTAGTTAAAGCTGGCTTTGAACTCACTGTGTACCCAGCCTGGCCTTGAACTTGCAGTGATCCTCTTGCCTCAGCCTCCCAAGTGTTGGAGTAACAAGGACAAGCATGCACTAAATTCTTAACATAGACTGCAGGGCTCTTCCTGGGCTGGTTCTGCCATCATCCTTGTTTCATACCAGACTCCCTTTCCCTTCTGGGTTCCAGCTGCACCAGCTGGGCCTTGCCACAAAGATTTCCTGTTCTCCCCTGTTACCAGTCCGTGGTAGCCACTTTCTGTCCCAAACATTCCTTTCTCCCTCTGAGCACTCTTGACCTACTCACTGTTTTTGGCTTCCTTGTGCTGGACTTTCACAGCAATTGGCGTCTGACATGCATTGATTAACCTGTGTTCTCTGCTACACTAAATTTCACAGGGGCAGGAGGCACTGATTCCCCAGTTCCTAGCAAAGTGCTTGACACATAGCAGGCATTCAATACATGATAGTTGTTGGTCAATTCTGATTTTTTCTTTTTTTTTTTTTCTGGATGTTAGGGAATGAACCGAAGGTCTTACATAGGCTAGGCAAGCATACTACTCCTGAGCTACATCCCCAACCTATAAATTTGATTTTATAGGGAAAATTAACAATTTGAGTTACTGTTTATGTTATAATCTATAAAGATTACTGGGATTTAGGATTCATACCATAATTTATTTATTTATTTAAAATTTTCATTGTAATACTAGAAATTGAACCCAGAGTTTTCACACTGTCTACATCTCCATCCTTTTACTCACAGCCTCGTGCTTACAAGGCAGGCACTTGTGCCACTGAGCTAAATCCTTGGCTCTGTCCCTTTTTATAAATGTTTTTGTTTTGAGACATCATCTCAAAATCATTAGGTGTCTAGGCTTCACTGAAATTTGTGATCCTCCTGCCTCAGCCTTTCAGAAGAGATTACAGAGTACACAACATACCCAGCTTACTTCTATAGCTTTGACATTCTTATGTGAGCAACAGTGCCTCAGAAACTAAGCATATAAATCCAATAGATGTTGGGGTGTTATAGATAGTTACAGACACTGAAGGTGTAATTGTTCATGGGCAGTGAGCTGTATTAAGGGAAATTGCCCTTTTGTACTCCTGAATCCTTAGCCTCTGATCTTTCTGAACACATATGCTTTATTGCCAGATTTGATAGGAACATTGCTGCAAAGACTTAAAACAGCTTTTATAAAATAAACATAGGTGGAAAATCATCTAGGACATTTCAGCGGTTCTTGTCACTCTGAGCCAATGTTCAGCACAAATCTGTAGAGTGTTACTATCCTCTCTTTTTACTTAGAATCTTTCAGGGTGAAATTCTCCTTTTTTTTTTTTTTTTTTTGGTGCCAGGGATAAAACTCATAACCTTGTGCTTGCCAGGCAGGCATTTAGGCCACTGAGCTAAATCCCTGGCCTTCGGGGTGAAATTCTTATATGCGCACACACATACTTTTTAAAAACTTATTTATTTATTTATTTTGAGCTAGCTTAAGGTTGACCTCAAACTCACAGCAGTCCTCCTACACGGCCTCCTGAGTGCTTGGGATTACAGATATATGCCACCACACCCAGCCCTATATAACATCACAATATTTTATAGAATGTCTTCCTCTTATTGATGCCAGTCAATCTCACTTGGTTATCTGGGAGAAACCAGAAACCCCTTTGGAACTAGATGAGAATTCTGGCTCTCATAGGCTTCATCCGTTCCTCTTCCCACGTGGCTGAAAAGCTGCTAGAAATATTCTGCAGGCTGACTAAGGCTCTGTTTTTCTGCATGTTTTCAGTGTACTAAAGTGGGTGCTATGCAATTTAAATGTCTTATTTCCAGATCATTTTATTTCCGTCACTCGTATTATGTCTTTGGCTCAGCAAACCCTAGAATTTGTTTCAGAATTAATCTCAGACTGATATTACGTGTCTGAAGGCTCTGTTATAAGAGGTACACATGCGTTCCTAGCCATAGGACACTCAGAAGTTTAAGAACTTCAAGGCCCAGAGATAATTTTTCTCTCTCCTTTCTCTGTCAGCACTTCTGGATGCATCCCAAGGGTTCTGATGCATTCAGTGTGGGAGTACATCACCCCCAGTTAAGAGGACTGTGCTTAGGATTTCAGTTCTTCCAAATTATATCTAGGCTCTTAACTATTTTATGTTTCATCTGAAAAAAAAAAAATGATTCTAAGCTACCTTAGGCATTTTTTATTGAAATAGAACTCTAGAAGTCCTTTATTTCTGATAGTGTTTCTAGTTCCACAATTTATTTATTCTTTCTCTCTCTTATATTCTCTCTTTCTCTCTCTCTCTCTCTCTCTCTCTCTCTCTCTCTGTTTTTTCTTTTTTCTTGGTTAGTATTTTTGAGACAGAATCTCACTGTGCAGTTCAGGCTCACTTTGTAGTCCAGGCTGGCCTCATATTTGCAGTGATCCACCTACCTCACCCTCCCAAGTGCTGAGATTACAGGTGTGCACCACCACACCTGGCTGGTTCCACTATTTCTGTAGTATAGTTTGATTACTTCTCAGCTCAGTCTGCTCAAAAGGATTAGATCACTTGCAGCACAAATGCTCCTTGTTTGCAAGTTGACTTTTTACATGAATGATTTTCCATCTAAATAAATTGTTTCTATTTCAAAGACTATAAAATTCTACTTTATAAAGAGATGAAATGGATTTCCTAAAGAAGTTCCTTTGAAGAATACCAAACAAGTTATCTAAATAGGACCATTGTCGTAGCTTATGAACATCTTTGCCACCTCTGCTTCTGCATTTATAAATGCAACAATATGGAGAATAGCCAATAGTGGGAGGCTAGCTTGCTACTATAAATTTTTTCCCCTCTTTCCTTTTGTACAGTTTCTAATTATGCCTACTGGGCTTTGACCATCATATAGCATTCCATAATATTTTCAAACTTATCTTTGGGCCCTTGAGAAAATGAGTGAATTTGTTTGATCACCCAACATTGGTAATGTGACAATCACTTAGTAAACTTTGAAGCAGTTGAAAGAAGAAAATGGAAAATAATGCTGTTTCTAGGCCAAGCATAGTAGTGTATGCTCCCAGCACTCAGGAAGCTGAGGCAGGAGGACCGCCATGAGTTCATGGCCAGCCTGGACTACATAGTGAGTTCAAAGTTGCTCACAAAAAAAAAAAAAAAAAAAAAAAAACAAAACACTATTTCACCAGTGTATAGTAAGTTGAATTTCACTATACAGTGTTTTTCTAACCTGCAAGCATTATTTACCCTTTCTCCAGCACTTTGTTAGTGAACGTAAATATGATGAGGATCTGGGACGAGTAGCCCGGTTCACTTGTGATGTGGAGACTCTAAAGAAGAGCATTGATTCATTTGGACAAGGTGAGATGATGAGACAATCTGGGCCACACAGCTGTCCACTGTTAATGAGCGACTGATGTGCTGGCCTCACCACTGAGCTCCTCAGTGACTCTTGTCTTGTTTTTATGGAAAGTAACTTTGAATGTACTTTGAACTCCAGGATACTTATCAGCTCCCTGTGTTACAAAATTCTCTTTTTCTATTATTTTCTTCTGAGTTAAAAGGTCTGTAACCATAAAGAACATGGGACTCTGGAATTAGACCAAGTTTGAATCCTTTCCTGGACACTGATACCTTGGAACTTCATTTTACTCTTTAAATGGAGATTATAAGAGATAACAATACTTGCCCTACCTGGCACATAATAGTCCTTTTGTGTGCATCCATGTACATTTGTGTATCGGTATCTTTGCCCATGTGTGTGTCTATTTGTGGTACTGAGGATTGAAGCTGTATCATCATCTCTTTATTAATTTTTTTTTTATTTTGAGAAAGAGTCTTGCTAAGTTGCTCAGGCTGGGTTTAAATTTGGAATCTTCCAGCTTCAGCCTACTAGAGTGCTAGGATTATAGGCGTGCACCACCATACCTGGCTAGTGGGTCCTTAAATAACGTTAAAGATGGGGAAGGGTAAAGTGCCTCAGAGTGAGAATTTGTGGCAGCCAGGCTTTGAACTTGGCTGCAAAGTGAGACATTGGGACAGGGGCTATGTAGTTCAGAGCATAAGCCTGTATGTGTCAAGCCCTAAGTTAGAAAACTACACTGAAGAGCCTGACATGGTGGCGCATGGCTGTAATCTCAGCATTCTGGGAAGCTGAGGCACAAGGATCATTGCAAGCTCAGGGCCAGCCTGAACTGCATAGTGAGACTCTGTCTTAAAAAGGCAGAAAGTTCAAAACAAAACTGTAAGTGAGGGCCGGAGGTTTAGCTCAGCGATGTAAGAGCCTGCTCGGCAAACAAGAGGTTATAAGTTCGATCCCCAGCAGCAAAACACACACACACACACACACACACACACACACACACACACACGCCAAAAAAAAAAAAAAAATTCTGGGGAGTAGTTTTAAACCATTAAATTCTAACAGCATTTTGAATTGAAAATACTACTATTTTTCATTTAGATTGTATCTTAGTTACTTTCCTTGTTGCTGAGACAAAATACCTGATGCTCAAAATAAAAAGGGGAAGGGTTGTTTAGCTCACAGTTTGTAGAGGTTTCAGTCTGTATTGGCTGGCTCCAAGGCAGAGGGGCAATAGCTCATGGTGGTGAAAAACAGCAAAACAACAAAAGCAAAAAAAGGAGACAAGCCTCTTTCCACACCTTTTATATTATCCAGACTGCTGGTGCCGGTCCAATCAGTGGACTGATCCAGCAATCACCATCCTTAATCCTAGTATCCTTAATCCTAGTACCCTTAATCCCAGCATTGTACTCCAAATTAGTCAGAAACTGTAGATTCAGCTACCTCAGAAAAAGCCTCATCTAAAAGTGCATGAGGCTTTGGGGAGACATCTAGACACAAAACATTGATATTTTGGTTTGGGGGTTATTTTTGCAGAAAGAAATTTGGCAAGATACACATTTGTTATAAAGACTAGTTTATATGGGCTGGGGATTTAGCTCAGCGGCATAAGCGCCTGCCTTTGCAAGCGCATGATCATGAGTTCAATCTCCAGTACCGGTAAAAAAAAAAAAAAAAAAAAAAAAGGCTAGTTTATTCATATTAAACTGATCTTGATTATTTTTACCTTGTATTGTTCAAACTTTTAAAAAAGGATTTAGCAAAGATTTGATTTGTTTACCTTTTTCTTCTCAAAGTCTGTACTTTAGAATGTTCTTTGCATAGGAAACTGAACATATGGCTTGTACTATTGTTCCCGGTCTTACTTAGCTGCTGAAGCTATAGCCGGAGTTTAGGTACTGTAGTAGGAAATGCCAAGAAGTCATTAGTCAGTGGTGGTGGAAGTAGGGCGGTGATGAGTAACTTTATTTTAAATTGTTCTCCTGTCTCTAAGAATTTCTTTATAAAGAAATGGGAGTTTGGAGACAGCAGAGGAAGAAGGCAGAAGGATGATTTTCCTACCCTCATTTTATAGGTTTTTCATTATAACTATTCAAGTAAACAGTTATTTATCTTAAATTGCTCATTGTAAAATGGAGAAATAGGAAAAACTTTATCCACTGTTTTTCCATCACATGACCATATATTCTTTATATTTCTGTTTCAGTGTCTCACCCAAAAAACAGCTATTCGACCAGATCTCATTGTAGCTCAGTTGTATCTGTGTCCTTGAGTGGCCCAAGCGATGCCTCTGCTGCTTCCTCTTCCACCTGTGCCTCTACTCCCAGCCTTACAGGTGCTAACAAGAGAAATTCTGCATCAGAAGAAGCTCCTCCAGCAACAGCAAACTCCAGCAGCCAACCCTGCCAGCCTCATCGGGAGGTAATTTAGCTTCCACACTGAATGTGTGAGAGAAGGGACACCTGATTATCAAAGTTTAAGTACTAACATATATATATATATGTATATATATGTTAGTATATATATATATATATACACACACACACACAGTTGTAAATGTAACTAAATGTAAAATACATATTTATTTAGTACATATACATTTACAGCGAGTTTTGAATAACATGTATGTTTTAAGTGACTCGTGTTTTGTGGAAAATGATACTCCTTTAAGAAGATAGGGTATTTGGAAAATTAATGAACAGGAAAAATATTTTTCATATTAGAAGTCTAGCAACCTCTGCATACTAAAACTCTGATATTGTTGTTGGTTTTTATTTTTTAATCGGTACTGGGGATCGAACTTACGACCACCTGCTTACAAGGCAGGTGCTTATGCCACTGAGCTAAATCCCCAGACCCCTGCTATTGTTTTATATATGGTCTTTTGTTGTGTAATCATTACTGTTCATAACAGAACAGTAATGTGCCTAAAATAATCAAAAGCACCCAGATAGTCCTGGGATCTGATACCAAATCAGGCAGTAGGAAGCACTATAATAGCTTAGTATTACCTTCCCCTCTCTCTCTTTTTTATTTTTTAATTTTTTAAATTTTATTTATTTATTTATTTATTTTTTGGTGCCAAGATTTAACTCACAACCTCACGTTTGCCAAGCAGGCACTTACTCTGCTGAGCTAAACCCCCGGCCTAATTTTAATTTTTTAAATTTTTGTTGTTTGGGCTGGGGATTTAGCTCAGCGGCATAAGCACCTGCCTTGCAAGTGTGCGTTCTTGAGTTCAATCCCTGGTACCGATAAAAATGAAAAAGACAAAAAAAAATTTTTTTTGGTGTTTGAGACAGGGGTTTTATGTAGTTCAGGCTAGTCTGGAACTCAATATGTAACCCAGGCTGGCCTCAAACTCATGGCAGTTCTCCTGCCTCAGCCTCCTGAATGCTGGTATTACAGGTGTGTACCACCACGCTGGTCTTACCTTCCTCTATTCCTATTCCATACCTATTTTACAATCTCCGGCCCCAAATAGTTTCTGAGAAAGCTTCTGATACAGTTTTCCAAAGCACTAGACAATTTAGACTTCTTATAGCCAAGAATTGCTGATTTTTTTTTTATTGGCACTAATCCTCACTTTTGTAAATAATACTGCTTGGTAATTAGTCACACTGGGAATCGTGAACCCATCTCAAGGTACACAAACACTGGGAGTGGTCAGTTTACTAGCATGCATCTGAAAGTGTAATTCCCTAGAAGCTCAATGTGAATATGTTGGTAGAAGAAGTGAACCTTGAGGGAGAGAACAAACTAGAAAGAGAATAATCTATAATTTCTTCTCCTTGTTTTGAAAAATAATAGCACCAAGTCAGTGCTGTTAGTAATTCTTCAGGACAGGTTTGGCATTGGAATTGGAGAACAAAAAAGAAATTCCAAAAGCCATATATTTTTTGGATTGTAATATGCAAGTGTACTAAATGTCCCAGAAGCATGGTTTAACCTCTGGTTCATGCTATATACCAAAGCAGACCATAATGATGCTTATTTTGTTATTTCAAATATTCAATTATCTTTACAAATGCCTTATGATCTACAAAATTCAAACATTCAAGAAGTATGTCCAATTAAGAGCTTGTAACAACCCAAATAATTTTTATCTTCCATATTAGCTTTCATCTAAAAAGAAGTAAACTTCTTACTGGAGAAGAACCTAGGAGTGAAGGCAGGGAAAGATAAGTGAAAAATTCATTAAGTGTGATACAGTGGCTAGGTCATATTGGCTGACAAAATTCTGAATTCCAGATGTGAGATACTGGGATTATGCTTTCAGAATACTTCATAAACTAAACTAAGACCAGAATGCCAAAGTATCTTGAACACTGTATTATTTTATCCATAGGTATTACCGGGGAGCAGACGAGGACAAGGCTACAGGCCACAAGGGCAGAAGTCCAGTGACCCTACGAATCAAGGACGACATGATAGTGTGGGTCGTTATAGAAATAGCTCGTGGTACTCATCTGGTTCCAGGTATCAGAGTGCTCCATCCCAGACACCAGGAAACACTAGTGAACAGGGCCAGGCCCATTCTGCAGGGACCAATGGAACTGGAGCCACTGTGGAGCCTAGCCCATCTAAACCCTCATTCAGAAAGGGGCTCCCGCAGCGCAAACCCCGGACCTCTCAGCCCAAATCTGTGAACTCTTGAGAGAAATTCCAGATACTTCTCCACCCCACACAGTTCAACATGATAACTGGACTTTAGGAAATACGTAGTTAGGTTTAATAACAAAAAAGTTTATGCATATCATTTTTTGTGCCATTCTAAATATTTTTGGTTTCTTCTCTCCTTATTTCTTCTTTATCATTTTTGGAGGGGAAGGTGTTTTTTCCCTTGACTTTTCCCAATGATATGCTGATTCAGATTGGTTTTTCTTACCAGGAATCACCAGAGGGTGAGCACCATTGCACCAGGTCTTCCATCTGCCCAAAGAGGCCTTACACAACAAACCCCCACTATCAGGGCTGTCTCAGGAGGAATGGGTCAGAGATAAACCTGTTACTTTTGCAGTGTGGATGCCTGCCAGGTCCCCTTTGAACAAGAGTTTGACCAACAGGGAATTGTATATTGTACTGGGTTAGCCAGAAAAGAGGAATGTTAATTGGTGAAAAAGAGAACATAAGGAAACACTGGACAATCTGCCTCTGTCCCAGAATGTGCCTGAGATTTGACACTTGGAATCAGGGTTTCAGTTCCCTGCTTGGCATAATAACTTAACCTGTAGTTTCTTCAAAATGCCCAAAGCCTTGTTTCTTGTTACCTTAGGCCAACCTTAGGCTGCAAACCTTTCTAAGGAAGTCTATAGAAAGTTAATATACAATTAAAGTTTTTTAAAAGTTGTAAAAACATATTTCTTTGTTTCAGTGTTTGGAGATTTTTTGTTGTTGTTCGCCCCCTTTCCTGAATCTTGTCCTCATTCTGAACGAAATTTTTAGCAGTATAATTAGTGTTAATCTGTTACCCATCAAATATTGCTGCAGTCAATCTTTAAAGATGAATAAATAAAAGTAACTGTATAAATGTTCCCACATTTGCTTCACAGCAGCAAGTGAGTTTGTTTCATTATCTGTTCTTCTTTGGGCCTCATGGGGTAGAAGTCACTCGGACAGTTTGTTCTGTGCAAATGAGGGTGTCTGATTCCCAAGTCATTTGTCCACTGCTGCTTAGCTTCAGGACCAAATTAAAATTTGAAAACCAGCAGAAGCAAATGCAGCTGTTCATGGTGGGAAGGGATAGAGAATGGTGGCTTTGCAAAGTAGAACTTACCAGTTTAGAAAAACCATGGCTGCCAACAGTTACCCCAGGCAACCAAAGGTTATATTGGCACTCTTGTCCCCTGTCCCTTGACAGTAGTAGTGAATGTAATGGTATAATTGAGCTCCAGAATGTAGCAGGTGGCACTGGCACCAGACCCTTCCATCCCAATCCGCCCCCAGCCTCTATGACTTAATAGCAGCAGCGCTTTCCTTCCTTCAGCATGTGTTCCCCCAGCCCAGACTGTAAGTGGCAGTGGTACAGAACTTAGCTGCCTCAGGGCTTCCCCTGGCTGTTTGGCTGAAGCTTAGCTGCCAGGGATCTGCTTCATTGAACACAAAGAGAGAGACAGTCTGTTTATCCTGTTTTTTGTAAAGAAACCAGTAATCAAGGAATATTGGGAAAGCCATCTTCTGAGGAGCCATTTGCCTCATTTTGGGGAATTTGTCCAACACCATCAGCCTGCATAGGTACCATGAAAAAACTTTGCTTTCCTTGTACTTGCTTACCTGTACTTTATAGGAAATCCAGAGATTGAAGTGACCTTGGAGGATTGAGAGGTCTATCCCCATATCGAGGCAAGACTGTATTTAACCACCCAGCCAAATGAGAAGTCACATATTTGTCAAAACTGCCTTAGACATTGAAATTAAAATCTTGTAGAATAATATCTCAAGTTTTTTATAACCATAAAAACTGAAAATTATGTGGCTTTTTTTTACTGTTTTGTTTTGAATTACAAAATTAGTGTTTAAAATACCAAGTAATAAAAAAATGTAAAAGGAAATTTTCCATCTTCCTATTCCATTCCTCAGGGGTAATGACTCAGTAATTTAGCATGCAACCCTTCTAGACCTTTTTTCAAAGCATAAATGTCATCTACATAAATATATAGGTTTTAAATTTTTTTTCTTTTGATAGTCTTCAACAGCAAATTTCTTGGTGTGGTGTGGTTAGGTTTGGTTAGGTTTGGTTTGGTTTGGTTTGGTTTGGTTTGGGATAGAGTCTTACTGTGTAGTCCAGGCTGGGCTTGAATTCACTATGGAACCCTATCTGGCCTCAAATCTAATGATCTTCCTCCATGTTGGAACTACACATGTATGTTGGAACTACTCATGTCCTACTCAAGGCTTATTTTTTTTTTAAATTGTGTCCAAATGAATACATTTAGGTTCTCGTGTCATTTGATTTTTTTTTTTTCCTTATACCCTACAGGACTGAATGTCAAGCAGGTACTTTGCTACTGAGCTACCTCTGCAACTATTGGGGGTGATACGCTCACTCTTGCGCGCTCATATTCCCCCCACACACACACCATGCACACTCGCTCTCTCTGTCTTGTTCTCCCCCCACACACACACACTTTGAGAAAGGGTCTTGCTAAACTCCTTAGGCTAAGCTCAAATGTGACCCTCCTGCCTCAGCCTTCTAAGTACAGTACCTGAGACAGGTAAGGACTACTATGCCTGTCTTCACACTTGACTTTTCTTCAATGAAGAGAAGACAGGTTTGTTTTAAGTTTGATTTGTGCAGCCCCCAATAATCTCTGAGCTTCTCAAGAGAGGGAAAGTTCTATGTCCTGGGGAAGCTAGCTCTGACTCTCAAAGACTCATTTTTCTTTAACTTTTCTATTCCACTTTATAGATGTCTTGGCTAGAGATAGGAGCGGAACGTAAAAGTTGTTTAGCCCTGTCATTTATATGCACCCTGATAGGTAAAATTTAAATTAGCATAGTGGGATAAGGTTTATAGCTCAGTGGTAGAGTGCTTGTCTAGCATGTATAAGGCTCTAGGTTCAATCCCCAGAGCTAGGAGGGAAATGGCAGACTTTATTGTGAACAAGTGTTTTCTGGATCCCTAAATTATAGCCATTTTAAAACTAATACAGAGTATATTTTTTTAAATACAGACTAGGGGTATGGCTTAGTGATAGACTTTAGGTTCAATACCCAGTATCCAAAAAAAAAACATGGAAGCAAGTTAAAAAGTTCCTTCCAACCTTTTCCTGCTCCCTAAAAGAAATCACTGTTAAGTCCCCTAGGTTCAGAAATTCTTAAAACCTAAACATAAAAATACATGGTTTTTTCTCCTTATGTAGATCATCTTATGCATATAACTTGCTTTTTAAAATTGTCCTTGTTTACCTTTTTGTTTTTTAAAAAAAGTATTAAGTGCAAATCATTTTTAAGAAAGTGTAAATAGTTTTACACTGAAAAGTAAACCCATGTAACACTCTGAACTGTTTGTCCCCCGCCATAGAGCAGCCGCTATTAGGTTTCTTGTAGGACCCTCTGGAGATTCCTTACGCTAGTACAAGTATATATAAGTATGTGTACAACTGAGACCTCCTTCCATGTTGATATCTATTTTCTCAGTGGATACATAGTATTGCCCTGTATTAATTTGTTCTATTCAGTTTAACTAGTCCCTAATGATGATTTTTCAGGTTTTTGCTATTATATGGCTGCAGTGAACAGTACAAATATCATTCCTCATTTGTGAGAGAACATCTATAAGTCAAATTCCTAGGAGTGGAATTGCTGGGTTATACGGTTATTGATATGTGTACTCCTTATCATGATGAAGTTGCATAGATTTACATTCTTAGCACCAGTGTGTGGGCGTAGTGGGTGCAGTATACAGTTACTGAGCTGAAAGCTAAGGAGAGACAGATAACTAAAGCAGTTCCAAACTTTGGGTAGCTAATAAACTGGCATAGGAGTTGCAGGCATAGCTCAGCAGTAGAGTGCCTGCATGAAGCCCTGAGTTCACTCCCAGGCATTCCCAAATATATGGGCCACTGAGACACACAGATCAGTAACACAGTGGGATGTTGTTGTATAAACTGTCTTGCGTATGGTGGAGGAAGTACTGCCAAATGGCTGAGTCCTGGGCCTAAACTAATGCCATATCAGAGGGTGTTCCCAGGCCAGGGTACAGTTTTGTGAGTATAAAGTATGTACAGGAGGAAGAGAATAAATTGTTTGAGATTAGGAATGACCTAGTAAATCTGGCATACATGATCATCAATCTGAGAACAACCTATACACTCCTGGAGAAGTTCTGGAGAGCAATATATACTTGGAAACCCTGCTACCAGACTTACCACAATGAGGGTTTATCTTGTCTCATTTATAGAGATCTTCTCACCTAGTGAGGATTGTATCTGTATGGCAGTGGATTTCTTGTCTAAAACAGTACTCATGGGTCATTAACTGATATAAGGAAGTTGGGGGGGGGATGCTGGGATGAATCTCAGGCTTTCACACAAAGCTATATCCCTGGCCCTTTTTTTGATTTTTTAAATTAAAAAATGTTTAAAACTGTCTCACTGAGCCAGGTGTGGTGGCGCATGCTTGTAATCCCAGCACTTAGGTAACTGAAACAAGAGGATTGTTGTGAGTTCAAGACCAGTTTGGGCTACAAAGTGAGCTCAAGGTCAACCTGAACTGTATAGCAAGACCCTGTCTCTCAAAAAGACCAAAAAACAAAACAAAATAAAAAAACTGTCTCACTGAGTTGCAAAGTTTGACTTCACGGTAGGCTCAAACTTACGATTCTCCTACCTTAGCCTCTCAGAGTTGGGATCGTAGGCCTCTACCACCAGGCCTGACTACAAAGAATGATTTTATCACCATTGTAGACCAATGAATTCAGAATACTGGCCCTTAATGATGGTGGCCAGAACAATTAAATTGATTAAATTAATAATACAATTGATTAAGCTTTTTGATGGCCACTTAGATACATTCTTTCCTTCTAATACTGAGGTCGCTGTATAGTATTCCATTGTATAAATTTGTTATAATTAATCCCTAATGATAGTTTTCCATTTTTTTTTAAATTTTAAAATAACTTTTTATTATTTTTAACATATTGTAACATTTCATAATACTATATACTGCTCCAATGTTGATTTAGTTACAAATATCCTCCCCTCATTTCTCCTCAATCAGAAATTAAAGGCATATTAATTACCCTCTAGTATCCTATTATATTAGTTCTTAACATATCACATTTCATAAAACAGTAATGTTATGAACTAAAATAATAAAAGTTAACAATTAAGTTTCACAGTTTCACAATTAAGCCACCAGCAGACTGTTGAACTTCGAACACCAACAAATATCCACTATATTTTCTTTTTTTCATAATGCTCCTTTGTAAAAGAAAATATAAAGCAAAAGTTATAAATGCTGCTTTTATCTGAAGACACAACTGAAATGGAAAAAAAATGCTTTTAGTTCTTTACCTGATACATGTATTTTTAACTGTAAATAGGTTTTACAGTTACCAAAGGATATATTATTTCCATGTTAATAGATTTTAGTATTTTTTAATGTTCTGGTATTAGTAAGTGAACAAATAAAGTTAAATGAGAATGAAACTTAGAGTTTAAATAAAAAATGGTCAGAAAGTCAAATACTTATATAAATACAAAACAAACATGATTGCATGAATTAACTAATTCAAATTCAGAAAAAACATACTGAATTTATTTTTATTTATTTTTTGGTACCAAGAATTGAGCTCAGGGGCTGGGGATTTAGCTCAGCGGCATAAGCGCCTGCCTTGCAAGCAGGCAGTCGTGAGTTCAATCCCCGGTACCAATAAAAAGGAAAAAAAAAAAAAAAAAGAAAGAATTGAGCTCAGGACTTTGTGCTTGCTTTTTTTTTTCTTTTGCTATTACAAATATTGCTGCAGTGAACAACACATGTCATTTGCCATTCTTCACTTGGGAGAGTGCATCTGTAAGATAAATTCCTAGGCGTTG